GGAAGTCCATCGTTGGAAACTCCACAGTTAAGCGTGCTTGGCTTGGAGCAATTCTATGATGGGTGACCCCCCTGGGAAGTTTTCTCGGGGAGCGTGCGAGTGAGGACAAAGCATGCTGAAAAGATCCATGTTGGTACAGTGGGGACAGTACGTCGTCGATCTAACGGTCGAGATAGCCCGTTAAGTGGGACCTGGATCATTACAAAGGGTCTATTTGAACAAAAGGAGAAACAGTACATCACTTCAGGACTAAATGCCTGTGTTGACAAAGCTTTTGATAAAAGTGTTAGTAGTTTTTAATAAAAGAGAAGAACAAGGGTGTATTTGAACAGATGGAGAAACGGTACATCACTTCAGGACTAAATGCCCGTATGACAAAGCTTTTGATGAAAGTGTTAGTAGTTTCTAACAAAAGTTGATGAAATGTGAGGTTAAAAAGTTGATAAAGTTGTGGGCCCATGAAATGTGTGGTTAAAATTGAAGTTTGACCGATTGTCAAACGAGCTGTACATGTTTCAACACTATATTTGGAAGATTAATGGACATTGTTGACAGAAGAAGACATTAACGTATGAAGAAAAATAGTAAACAGTTTTCTCGAACTGAATCCGAGTGTAATTGCACTTGATTTTATTTGTATGGAATGTGTAAATACAGCCAATGAATGTCCTCTTGCAATACTGTGAAATTATGATAATGCCCTTCACACATGCTTTTAAACAATTACACCATTGCCTACTTAAGCTCTAGTAAGTCTCTCAACAAGCCGTCTGTGACACTATGACACGATACCCAATTATGGCAGATAATCAAGAAATTGTGGGTTTTTTCCCCTTTCTTTCCATGTAATTTACAGTCTAGGAGTAGCTTGCAAGTACCGAAATGATGATGGTGAGCATCAAGATCAGCTTGAGGAGGTTGGTGCATAAATGGATTTGGTGATTGATTACTTGGGTGAACTATTTTGGAATGAGAGACTATGATATACAAGTCAACCAACAATCACACACGAAACACCAGAAACATAGTTCAAAATGAGCTCTAAGAGATATAATAGAAGCAAAGGGTTATAGTGAGACAAAGATTTGTACCTATGAAATTTATTGTAGAATGAATATCCATAAGAGGTGGTAGTAAGCAATATTTGTGTTCTAAAACAGCTTCTTCATTGAGAGAACGGGCACTTTGGCAGGTGATACTATCAATTACATTAGGGCATGGTGTAAGATTGACAGTCATGGAAGTTATATTGCAATTCTAGATCTAGATGTACATCTTTACCCTGCTGTGATACTGTGATAGTGTAGACAAAGTAAAATGTGGAGAAAAATAGTAAACAGTTTTCTTGAAGAGTTGAATGTGTTCGATATTCCACTAGAAGTTAGTACACATGTTCACCAGAATCTCTATAATAAAGCTTATATCTATGCCTAATTATACACCTACAATTATGGTAGATATATCATAAAAATTCAGTCTTCAAGATCGTAAATGGATAGATTGTATAGAATTTATATTAACATATAGATCGGTTGAAGACTAAAACTTTCATTACTATTTCTGTTGATGAATGGACATATTTTTCATCAATATTATAACACTACTTTTATCCCTTTGTTGAGTCCTTGGGAAATCCGTACCAAAATATAGAGTAATCATAGAATTTCTGTATATGGATCTATTAATTACAATTCATGTTCAACTCAACTCAACTCAGGAAACCTGTATCACTTATATAGTGTTAGTTTTTAAACAAAATATATCTTACTTATCCCTTAAATAGAGATTAAAATAATAATAATATATATATATATATATATATATATATATATATATATATAATGTGTTGGCAAATCCCAAAACATGATTACGCTGAAGTTCTTATTCATATTTTGTTTTTGCTGCAATGCTGCTAGTCATTCACTTGAGGAACAATTTCCAGGCCAAGAAGTCTGCTCATGTAAAGATATGCTGCTAGACATCTCAACCTGTCCTGGATCCTATTTTTGATTGCAACATATAAATGAATTTGATTGCACAATGAGATGATTTAACTACTTCTTTTCTTTCAATGCACCTTACATTTTCTGTATACATTGATCATTTAGAAGGAATATGAATTACATTTGTATTGTGCGCTTTTTATTTTCATCTTCTGTACTCTTCTGTCAATCAGGAAAGGATTTCTCATTACAGCGATGGTTACTGCTGCAGCTGGTTTTTTAAGTGCTTTTGCCCCAAATTTTACTTTGCTGATTATTCTCCGAGGTTTGGTTGGTGTTGGCTTAGGAGGTGGGCCTGTGCTTTCTTCCTGGTTTCTCGAATTCATTCCTTCTCCAAATAGAGGTACTTGGATGGTAGTGATTTCGGCTTTTTGGACTCTGGGCACAATTCTTGAGGCTTCTCTTGCTTGGGTATGGCCAGAGAAAAATCTACTTTTATTATTGTTGTTTGTAAATGTAGCTTATCGAGTTAATTATATTTGTTGTTTAAAAGTTAACTTTCAACTACTGGTGAAAAAAAAATATTCTTGCTGCTAGTACTAGGAGATGATTTACCGAGATGTGTTTCTATTCGTTGATTTTCAGTCATAGAAGAATATAATAACTCATTTTTTGTTTCAAGTACTTGCTAATTTGGTTCGCACAATGTTTGTGCATCCCCACATTACATTATGATATACAACTTTGAAATTGGGTAGTGTCCCAGGCACTCAATCTACGTGTTTTGCAAAAAGAAAAGACAAGAAATAATTTGCATGTTTGTATTAATTATATATATAGTATTAGAAATTTGTAGATAAAAACTTTAAACACAATGTTGATTTAGTTTCTAAACTACTAATGCAGTAAACATGTTCCTTTTTCTAAGTTTGGTTGACGGTAGGTTGGTGTATGTTATTCACTGATGATATTGTCTTAGTTGATGAGACTAAAAGGAAGTTAGAATTTTAGAGGCATCCTTTGAAATGTAAGGGTACATTTGTTCACCGGATTAGATCATATACAGGATAAATATTACCCAAGCCAGTATATGGTGTAGGGATTACCTGGGTTAAATTAACCTGAGAAGAGTGTTAAAGGCTAAATGTACTAATTGTAAAAAGCCTTAGCTATAAAGTCATTTTCCTCTCAACATTATTTTTCACACAAATCTTTAAGGAACTTTTTTTGGAATTATTAATATTACCATCTCTACAAAAACGGAGGCCATCACAATGAACAGTAGGTGTATATATGGGAGGTGTGACCACCGCCCTTAACGAGGATGCTCATGTCCACTCCAGTGACATGTTGGCAGCCAAGGAGAATAAATGGTTCAAATGCCTTGTACCAAAGGATCTTCTCGCCTCCATGGTAGAGGAGGAACGGAAATAGCTTTTCTTCTCTCTATGGTGTTGGAATATCCTCGATTTTGGGAGAGGTTTTTCTGGGTTGCTGGATATAAAAGTTAGGGATTTCTGTTGATCTTCTTCCATTGATTGATCATTAGCTATACATCTAAGGGTTGCCCATCTCAAGATATCACACGATTGACCTTACTCTATTACAGCTGATGGTGAGCCATCTCTGGCAGAATGTGAAGGCCATTAGGCCTTTACTCTTCTCTTGATTTCCCTCTTCACAAAAATATTTTTATTAGCTATAATCATTTGAGTCTTGGTACAAAATTTCTATCGTGGTACTTAATATATTGGATTTGTTTGAAATTTTGTAGTGGAAAATATTGTTTATATGATTAACAAAAAATGGATATGTAGTCAATTCTTTTACTTTTTTTGTATGATGAGATGAGTTGGGTGCTTGGGACAGGCTCATGTTCATAAGAGATGTGCAATCTAGTTAGAACATGTTAGAAGAGGGAGGGTAAACCAAAACTAACATAGTTTGCTATAGTTTCTAAGAATCTAGCTATTTTAGATCTTTCAGTACATGTAGTAATAAAACAAGCGAAGGCATCAATGGATTTATGCCATTGGCTTATTATGAGTGAAGCATTATTTTTTGTTGGTGGTGGTAGGTATAGGAAAATAATAACACTTGTCTACTGTAGATAATGAGAGACCAAAGAATCCCTCTTAGATGCTCCCAATTTTCTAATGACGATATATAGCAAATTTTGTCAATTTTTATCTCTTTTATTCTATGCCCCTGTTCGACAACCGTTATTTCAAAACTTTTTATTTTACATACTCATTTTCAACCATACATTTACATAATAAAATATTCTACATGTAAACCCAAAATTTTTCCGTACTTTCTAATCGTACATTATCCAAAAATTTACTATTCAAAACATTGTTTTGAACAAATAATGGCCATCAAACAGGGGCTAATTATGTTTGATCAAATTTATATTTTTTGTTTCCTTAGTTCTTCTAAAACTTCAAACTTTCCATCTTAATTTTTTAGTTTTTTATTTTTTTGCAGTTTGTCATGCCAAGATTGGGTTGGAGATGGCTACTTGCACTGTCGGCCCTTCCTTCGTCATTGTTGCTTTTGTTTTATTTCATGACACCTGAATCACCAAGATATTTGTGTGCGAAAGGAAGAAAAGGTGACGCACTTGCTATTTTAGAGAAAATAGCTCAAGTAAATGGAAGAAAACTTCCTTCAGGCGTTCTTGTTTCTGACCTCCATATTGAGCTGGGTGAGAAATGCACTGCATTGGAAGAAAAAGAGTTGATTTCACCGAGAGAAAATGATAGTGAAAATCCTGAAAGTATGGATTCTTATAAGGGTGGCGTCTCTTCAGTTTTTATGCTTCTTTCACCAGAATTGTTTAGGTCGACTTTACTTTTGTGGATGGTGTTTTTCGGGAATGCGTTCTCTTATTATGGGCTTGTGCTGCTGACCACAGAGTTGAACACTGGAGATAATATGTGCACACATACAGAAGAGCAATCTAAGAATCACAAGTCTGTTAGTTACAAAGATGTTTTTATAACGAGTTTTGCAGGTATGGAATCGCTTAATTGTTTTGATCATGATTATAGACTGTCTATAAATATTCAAGCCTCTCTTTATTTACACATTTTGAGGGACCCCAAAGTACTACCCAATTATCCACTACTCATTTCTGTATGTTCATAATTTAAATTGTTTATAAACACTTCCCAAACATGCTTTGTCTTAGGTGTTTAATTGGATATTTTGTTTCATGGAAAATGGCTGAAAATCATTTATATTTGGTTTGCTTTAAGAGTTCCCTGGGCTGCTCCTATCAGCTGCAACAGTTGACAAACTTGGTCGTAAGATGTCGATGTCAACTATGTTCTTCCTCTGTTCCATATTTCTGCTTCCATTGGTGTTTCATCAGCCTCAGAGCTTAACAACGGGTCTTCTCTTTGGGGCTCGCATTTGCATTACAGCGACTTTTTCAATTGTGTATATATACGCTCCTGAGGTAATAGACACACACACACACACACACAAAATTCTATTAAATCAGTAAACTAGTAAATTTGGATTTCTATTTTTTATTTTTGTTTCGTTTCCAAAAATTGGCAGATATATCCAACATCTTTAAGGAGCACTGGGGTTGGAGTGGCGAGCTCTGTGGGGAGAATTGGTGGAATGATATGTCCTCTCGTCTCAGTAGGTCTCATTCATGGATGTCATCAAACTGTAGCTATCTTTCTGTTTGAGAGCATTGTAATTCTTTCTGGGATAAGTGTTCTGCTTTTTCCATTTGAAACAAGGGGACGTCAATTGAGAGACAATGTAGCTTGTTCAACGTGAGGAAACGTATTGCTATAATTCATTGCACGGGCAACCTACTTTTATTGTAAAATTGCTTGTGCATAATTTTACGTTAAAATCGTTGTTATACCAATGACTCGTTCAGAAAACTGGAGCTGCAATGCAGATGGACGGAAATCTGGAACTGCAGTTCCCAGAATTCATCACAGGATTTTTTGCCCCGAAATGTACTTGTATTATCAGATTACATGGGTGGTATTTTTTATTAAAACTTTTGTTATACTAATTAATGATTCGGAAAACAGGAGCTGTTATGCTGATTATGGTTTCATTTTGGGTTATCAAGCTCTATAGATCTTTTTGTTTCAGAGTTCAAGACGGGCTAAGCTCAAAGCGAGTTAAATTTACTTTTCAAATAAATCTTTGTTTTCAGATACGTTTGGACATGTTACCTTTATTTATTTGTTTATTTATTTTTGTTAATTGATTTGTGGAACTGCCTTGGCACAAACCAAGGATCCTTGATATAATTGGAGTCCAAATGTGCTAACTCTTTTTTTTATCCCATCAATAAACTTTCTAAACTTTTTGACACTTCAAAATATAGTAGTGAGATGCTGACATTTTGCTAGTAGTCTTTAATAAAGTTATGAAATGTGTTATTGGATTTATAAAAATTGTGAGTTCTATCAAATGTAGTATTAGAAATAAATTTGAAAAAAAGAATGAGTTTTAAAAAATGGAGATTGAACATGGGCTTTATTGTGTCGATAATTAAGAACATAGGAAAAACAAGATGGTGGTTCTAAACTCAATTGGAGTTGAACAATGAAGAAAAAGAATGTGCATGTAACTCATTTTTATCTCGAGGAGAATATGTTGTGTTAACGTGGGGAATAGGAGTGTGCAAAGGGATGTCTTTGATTCGTTAGTATTTTTTTGTTATCTTTAGAACAGTTATAATTTATTTTTCATTTAAAAGCCTTAAATTTTTGTAAAGAAAAGAAATGTTTTTTGCAAAATAATTGTTAGCCATTTTTTTATGAAAAAGGGAAAGTGTAATTGGTTCTAAATTAAATGTTTATGGGCTGTTATCAAATCTGACAATAATTTGCAGGTGGAAACCCTAACTTGAATCAACAATCTCTATGCATTACTTTTCCCGATAAAAAGGGGCAGGAGCGACTTTCAGTGTTTTGGTCATATATTCCTCTCTCGATATCCGATTGAGTTGATTCAACATGCGTTGGAAAGTTAACTCAAAAAGCTACAACTTTGCTTCAAATATCATCTTCCAATTCGATCGTTTGCCATGTCAAAAATGGGTCTCAAACTGAGACTGAAAATTCGATGCATAACTTTTCGATTGGAAATTTATGTGCGATCTTACTTTGACGATATTTCACCTATTTGATTTCTTTCTTCATTCAATTGACTTCTAACACTCTCAAATCTTCATCAATTGGTTCGACACAACTTTTGTGTGTTTTCACGTTAGTCCTTGAACTTTCATTTCCTATCACTTTGGTCATTTTTCATTTATTTCTTCCAAATTGTGTTATCTCCATTGAATTACCACTTAAATCAAAATATTACGTGCTGAGTACATTTTGCTTTCCTATCAAATTCCCCCACACTTGGCGTTTACTCGTCCTCGGGCAAAACTTAATTTTAGTTTCCCAAAACACCTCGATCGTAATGCCATGAATATAGAACAATCAAACTCTTTAAAACACACAACACATCATAAATAAACATTTTCACACAACTCATAATCAATTAGCAAGCATTTTCATATGAAGATGGAGTAAGCTAAACATGTAGATCCTTATGGATATAAGCACTCGACTCTCATGTGTTTAAAAGGTAAGTGTTTCTCTCAAATTGATTCCAATGAAGATGCTCTACCATATGCTTGCATATGTTCTCATTTGCCACCACTTATGTAGCATACTTAGCAAGAATCATAAAAACTTTTCACGGATTGTAACGTAGCTTAGGGTCAAGATGAAAAATATTTGGGTATGTGACTCAAGAACCATCGAAACTAGTGGAGCAAAAATGAATAGACTTATCTCAAATATATATATAAGACATGTAAAACCAACCACTCCACATGATAGCTTCTTCACTTCGTATCTATCTCACACAAGCCGAACTCTTTCTTGAGATGTAGGAAGAGTTATGAATATAGATATTTTGTAACATTGACATCACTCTCCTTCATCACTTATTTTTTTTTTCTTTTTTTCTCTTTTTTTTTCTATCATTTTTTTTTCTATCNGATACTCACACACTTATTTCCTTGCACACCCATACATATCATGATATTGAACAATACTCCACTAGCTCTAAAACTTGGGTAAATATGTTGTTTTTCCTGTTTAAAGCTTGTAACTTGGGTTTACAAAAAGAAAAGGCAATAAGGCTCAAATGGGTTCACCAAGGGGGAATATAATCACAAGATAGGCCATTTGGCTAATGTAGCTAATTTATATAACAAAGATGGCCTTAATCATGTTTGTGCATACATGTGTCAATGTGATCTTGAAGAGAATCAATTCAAGTTTTAGAGAAATAAAACAATGGAAGAATATCACACGTAAAAGAAATAATGATACTGTTATGGATATGTCAGTCTAAATGCTTAAAATCTCACCAATTTTTTTGCCTACAAAATTTAGTTACTACCATTCTCAAAGAAAATAACTCAATTAATTAACTCTAAGTTGGTAGATTATTCATTCAATCATGTTATGACTTCTTCAAAAGCCTAATTAATTCTAACAAATAGCATACACAACCCAAAACAATCATTTAACTCTCAATTCATTTTCTTGAAAAATCATGCAAAATTTTGTGAAATTAAACTCACTCAAAATTTAAATATAATAAATCTAAATATCTAAATCCCCATCCCCCACAATTAAAACTTACATTGTCCCCAATGTAAGGTGCAATGCAAAGAAAATGACAAAAATAACAAAGGAATGTGAAAAACAAAAACAAAAATAAAAAGATAAATGAATGAACTTCCCTTGGGTTGCCTCCCAAGCAGCGCCTTTGTTTATTGTCTTTGCCTCGACTCAATATTTCCTTGTTCAACCTGGATCTATCATGGACGGTTTTGATCTTCCTTGCGGTGCACTAAGTCCATTGGGAATGATAACTGCCAGTGTTCCTCCACCTGCATGCAATGTACACTTGTAGTAACTGGGGTGGGGCTTCAACTCCGGAATGAAAGTCTGCAAAACAAAAAGTAGAGGCCTCTCATTAGAAACTGGTAATAAAAAACAAGAACTGTTACCTGACTTTGGAAGATCATTTAATGCTGCCACAGTTCTTTGAAACTTTGTGTTTAAATCCAGCTTCTCTTTTTCCTTCCCAAAATGCTCATAAATGACAGATTCTCATTCATTTTTAGCAGCAAATTTGAAAACATCATATGCTAATTGATCAATTACATCAATAAAATGAACATGATTATTATTACACGGATGTTTCATGGAATTATAGATATTAAGTTCAATGATCTTATCATCAAACTTCACGGTCAATGTGTCATCATGAAAATCTATTTTAGTTTTGGATGTCCTTAAGAATGGTCTTCCTAATAAAAATAGGGGTAGTATGATTACTATTGCCCAAGTCAAGCCCATCAAAATTAGCATGGAAAATCAAATCATCAATTTTCACATCCTCAACTAGACCCATAGGATATGCGTTAGATTTGTCTGCCAATTGAATTATCACACCAGTGTCAATTAAAGGCCCAAGTTTCAAAGAAGCGTATACAAAATATGGCATGACATTAATAGAAGCTCCTAAAACTTAGTATTACCTATCATGTAAGGGATATTGAACATACCCGGATATGTACATTTTGTAGGAAGTTTCTCTTGAATAATTGCAGATACCTGTTCTCCAACTTTTACCATTTCAATCCCCTTCAGTTTCTGTTTCCTCTTACTTGTGCACAATTTTTTCAAAAATTTAGTATAACGAGGTATTTGTTTAATAATATCTAAAAGTGAAATATTGACCTCGCATTTATTGAAAATTTCATGCATCTCATCATGATCTCATTCATATTTCCTAGATCCTACTAAATCTTGAGAAAAAAGGGGTATTGGTTTATAATCAGAGAGAGGTAAAAACTTACGCTCAATCACCTCAGTATCATTGGTGGCAGTCTTGTTTGCAACCTCTTTTTCTTCATCTTCTTGCTCCAACGACGTAGGGGATGTCTTTACCGGAATCTCAACCTCTTTACCACTTCTCGGTATGATTGTGCTCACGTTTTCTTTTTGGATTCACCATTGTTTGAGAGAATAGTTTTCCCGAATTCTGTAACTCTAGCTGACTAACTGCGTTAGCTACTTGACCCATTTGATTCTTCAAATATTGAATGCTAGCCTTTGTCTCCTGTTGAAATTGTAAAGTGTTAGTTGTAAGAGACTTAATAATATCTTCTAAAGACATACCAGAGTCAGAAGATTGGCCATGTTGTTACCTAAGCTGATATGGCTGCTTATATTGTTGAAAGTTTGGGCGATTTTGAGTCACATGTTGATTTGTTTACGAATTTCCATAGCTAAGATTGGGGTGATCCCTCCATCCTGGGTTGTATGTCTTCAAAAAAGGATCATAATTCCTTTGTTGTTGTCCATGGACGCTAAAGGCTGCATTTACGTATTCAACGGGTTCTTATTGAAGTGTTTGGCACATATATATTGGATGGCCTACCAATAAACAAATTCCACATGCCTTCATTGTTTACATAATACCTACAACCATTTGATGAACAAGAGTGTTAGACTTTAGATACTTGTGTGGATCTTCACCTGCAAGACCATGAAAAGTGGGCAAAAGATAAATTAGCCCAGATTTTAATTCGAAAGTAGTAGTAACAACTAAATTAGGAAAAGTAATGCATAGAGGTTGTTGATTCAAGTTAGGGGCTGCAAGCTCCTTCAAAGTTCGATTGTACTCAACCATGACTTCATCTTCCTTTGATTCAAAATTACCGTGGAATATGG